TCACCCAGTACCCTAAAGAACTGCCTGCACCTCCAGGAATGGGCAGTGTCCTGGAGCTCAAATGAATTCCCATTCCCTTGAGCATTTTTACATCCTGTGTTATTTTCTAAGACAGTACGACCACTTCACTCCCACCTGCACTCTTGATCTGACACACAACAAAGAGCTCACCTTCGAACATCCCCCTTTATGTTACCTGCACAACAAATAACCCAGCATTTTGTGCCACTTTGGCTCATCTCTGCTTAATTCTTCACTGCCAATGTTCTTCAGGGCCTTTGAGAAACTTCCACCTGCAATCCTGCTTCAATAAGGGGATTCTTCTGACAGCAAATGCATAAAAAATTGCTTCTAGAAGGAGGTACCGTATTATTAGATCCAAAAATATCCTTTCCAGGTACATTTCACACATTCAGTCTGATAGATTCAGTCTGATAGATTTCCTAAATGGCTGTATTTGTTCTGAGGTGGTAATTTCTGCAGCACAGAATTTGATTTTGTGCAACAAAACAACATTTTGAACAATAATGAAGATGTGCATAATAATAATGCATAATTTTATAGCAGGACTGTTATTTTATTTTCTGTTAGCATTATCTAACTGACTAAAATGCCAGGAAGCCTACAGTAAGAAAACAAAAAGGACAAGACTTTACACAAACATATTTCACATTCCTGAGGAAGATGCCATGGAAAGCATATGAAAGGAAGTATTTTCTCTTGCCAAACCAGGACATTGGATGAGATACTTATTTACCCATAAATGTTGAGTATATAAAAATATATATTCTGAAAGCCTATAAATGGAATTTGTCCAAGACAATGATAATACAGATGATTTTCTTTTTTGTATCAAGAAACAAATAAAAAAAATTCCACCCACAAAATGCCAAAACCACAGCTCTGCGGTCCTAAATAGAATGGCATCTTCTATTAGCCCTCCTTAGCAAAGACCTTATTTTAAGAAAATACCTATTTAATTTAATTCCATCTTCCTTTTGTCAACCTTCATTTAAGGTCTTTTAAAAGCAATTATGTCTCATATCTTTTTATTAGGACATTGGAGCCTATTCATTTTACTCAATCAAAATTAACGCACTGTGCTTTTCAATTAAATTACATTTAGATGTATTAAAATTTTAGCAGAAGAAAGTAGGGCTAAAGCCACATCCAGATTTTATGGGAGGATGAGGAAAACTGCAGAATGCTGATAAAACTCTTTAGTGAAGACCAGTGTCTTCCTTGAATATATGGGAAGTGTCAATTCAGTGACTGCAGCTTCTCTAAGTAGACACCACTGGATTCACAGAAACTGGAGCTGGAAAGGCACTTAAGCCAAACTGCAGAGACACTTCAGCTGTGATTTCCCAGGAGCTTTGCACTGAAACAGGTTTGCACAGAGAGCTGTGTGCTCCAACCCTGGAAGTGTCCAACACGAGGCTGGATGAGGCCCTGAGCAACCTGATCTTTTGAGCAGCATCCCTGTCCATGGCAGGGAGTCAGAACTAGAAAGTTTCTAAGGCCCCTTCCAACCCAAACCATTCTATGATTCTGTGGGCCATCCAACAGTCTATTGCTGTGAAGGGATTTTAGTTGCTGCCCTTTATGTGGTGGGAATATTTGGATGATCTGGAAAATCAACCTGTCCAATTTGTCATTGAAGATCATGGGACTGCCTTCTGGGCAGCATTTAGCTGTTCATGGAATGAACAAGGACTGAAAGCTTCTCTGGGAGAAAGGAAAGTGTCTACATTAAAAGCTGGAGGCTGGGCTGAGGAAAATGAGGGCAGTTCAATTACAGAAATAGCAAAACAAGGAACATGGCTGAGAGGGAGAAGCTTGTCAAATTGATATTGATCCACAAATCATTTACAAATGGGAGAAGCTTCTTAAAAGACACCTGAGAAGACCTATCCATTTTCCTATCTGTCTGAAAAATGGAGATGTACATACAGAAAGCAATTGCTCAGTGTTGTTTATAAGCTTGCAGTTATGTAACCTATTTGTGTTAGGGTGTGCATCAGTGCAACTACAAGGATATTCTGTTAGAAAAGATAATAAAGTTAAAAACTAATTGGAAAATCAGACCTGATATAGGACACTTTAGCAACCAAAATACTCTGACTTCCAGTGTGCCACAGAGTATCACAAAAGCTACCCGCTACTTAGCACTTCCCAGAATACATCTAGAATAATGCATTCGGTTCAGGGCTCCCCAGCAAAAGAGATGTTAACAAACAAGTGAATTTGATCCCTGTATGGGCCACTCACAAGTTGGACTTGATATATTCTGTGATTCTGAGTTGACTGGACAGCCACATAGTTGGTAAGGGATGGAGAGCACTTGTTCTACAAGATGAGCAGAGGGAGCTGGGCTTGTTCATCCTTGTGGCAGGCTTAGAAAGTACATAGTAGCAGCTCTCCAAGGCTTGACAAGAGACCATCAAGAAAACAGAGCCAGGCTCTTCACAATGGTGGACAAGGAACAAATTGAGACATGGGAGGTGATAACTGAATAGGAGAAAACCCTTCTTCATGTCGAGACCAGACAAGCATGGGCTGCCCAGAGAGGCTCTGCAGTCACCACCCTTGGAAGGTCTTGCAAGATGAGACTGAATAAAGCCCTGAGCAACCTGGTCCGACCTCAAGAGCTGCCCTTGCCTTGAGCAGAAGCCTAGACCAGAGATCATTTCAGATCTCTTCCTGTGACTCGCCGATCACAGATGCTCAAGACTCATCGCAGTTCGTGGCTTTTTGCCAGCCCAAAGTGTACGAAACGTCTCGCTCCTCAAGACGCGCAAACACCGTGCCAAGGGCAGAGACCGCGTTACAGCGGGAGGCTTCCAGCACCTCCGCTCTACACCGGTGCCCAGCCCTTCCCGCCGCCGCTGCCCGCGCATCCGGGGGAGCCGGTCCGCTCGCTGCCGGGGCAGCCTGCCCGCGGCTCGGAGCCAGGCACAGCCCCTCACCGCCTCCGCTCGGCGCCTCACCGCAGGCACCCCCGAAACTTTCCCCGGCAGCCTGCGCACGCTCTCGCTCCCCGCCGAGGGAAACGTGCTCCCTGTCGCTCCCTCCGTGCCGCGGGCACGGGGAGGCGGGCGGCTGCCTCCCTCCCTCCGCCCGCCCGCCCGCGGAAGCCTCGCCGAGGCTCCCGCATTGCACCGCCGCGCCGAGCCGAGCGCGGGGCTCGGGCTGCCCACCCGCCCCGCCGGCGCCCCCGGCCCCGGCTGGCGGAATGAGCGCCGGCGAGGCGAAGGAGTATCTGACCCGCAGGGAGATCCCGCAGCTTTTCGAGGTAGGCGAGGCGCTGGGGGGAGGCGTTTTCCGCCCCGTCGGGGGATGCTCCGCGCTGGGACCCCGCGGCGGGCAGGGCTGAAGGTGGCTGGAAGGACGGAGCAGCCGGAGGCTGCGGCTCGCGTAGCTTGCGCGGGGAGCGGCGCCGCGGAGCGCCGGCCGCCAGCCCGGGCCGGGTGGGAGCTGGCGGCGCGGGGCCGGGGCAGCGCTGCCCGCCGCCCACCTGCGGAGCCCCCGCGGCCGCGCCCCTCCGGCCGCTGCGGCCGCCGGCGGGGAGCGAACTTGGCTGTCCGCAGGGCAAAGGAGCGCCGAGGAATGAGGGCGAGGGGCATCTTTCATCGGTCGGGGGGAAGAAAAAAGCCGCAACTGTTTAGTGAGGTTTTGTTTAGGTTCCTACAAGTTACCTGCTGCTAATGGCTGATAATTACTTCTCTGTGCAATGTGGATTTTCCCCCCACTCCGGATCAGACACCCTGTCATCTGTACATAACACGCACACATATGTATTTTCCCTCGTCTGTGTTGAAGCTAGACGTTTTATCTATATATTTGAAAATTGCAGGACACGGAGCATGCTAATGTTTTAATTACACAGTTAGAATGTGAATGGTTTAACAAGAGATGCAGACAAAACTGGTTTTCCATTGAGCCTCAAAGCTTGTGCTAGTTAATTTAAAAAATTGGTGCATATCTTCTGCAAAAATACACTGTTAGTTGTTGTGATCAGTTAAGTACTATAACAAGGGCACAGATGCATAGAAATTATATCCTGTTTTATAAGCTCAAATGTTTGTAAATACCAATTACTGTATAAACTGTAGATAACAACTGATCAAATCCTGAATTGGAGCTATTTATGTTTACTATTAATACCAACTATGACCCTCAAGTTTATTCACACAAAAATTAGAAAAAGCAAAAAGAACAGAAATCATCCTGAAAGACATGTATTGTTATGGGAAGGTTGGATGCAGCAGTCTCGTGGAGAGGTGAGATGATGACTTATGTATCACTTTGTCAAGGAAATGTGTCAGAAGAGGGCCTGGCAGTCTTTCTCTCACAACCCCCACAATGCTCATGAGTAAGATGAGTAAAGAATTAATACTGTAGAGAGAGGGTTTCTAATGGCTCAGAATTTGTGATCAATTAAATCAGGAAGCACCTATGAATTTTGGGGTTGTGGGGTTTTTTTTGCCCAATACAAATCAAGATGATATTTGAGTATTTCTCGTGATTTTCCTCGTTTCATTGCTTGTGTAAGTGTTGACAAGAATATCGATGAGATACTTGTGGCTGCAGTGGTCTTTCAGGAAAAGACACATTTTAGTGATGTCAAAGACTACAAAGAATATGTAAATTTTGGGGCTCTCTAGCTTGCACATTGCGCTGTGTATGCTTGCCAGTGACAGTTCTAAGAAAAATGTAGAGGGTTTTTTTTTTATATTTTCAGGTTTTATTTCAATGCATACAGACAACAATAAAGATATAGGCATGAGCTTCCTTTCCAAGTAATTTTTATAACATTGGCAAACCAAAATAATTTGATTTTTTGCAGGCCTCACTTTTATGTATTGGCTTGCAATAGAGAGTCTGAATATCAAGGAATGTGGTGCTTCTCTGTGCAAAGTAAAAGACAAAGTAAAGGTGCTCGTTTTCCCCTGGCATCTATCATCATAGTCTATATTTCTGATCTTACATTTCAGAGTCTGTTAAATGGATTAATGTGTTACAAACCTGATGACCCGATTGAGTATTTGGAAAGCTGTTTGCAGAAAGTAAAAGAGCTTGGAGGGCCAGAAAAAGTGAAATGGGACACTTTTGTCAGCCCAGAAAAGAAGACCCTGCCTCCACTCAATGGAGGACAATCCCGGAGGTCTTTTTTCAGGAATGGTACTGTATTAAATTTTAAAGATATTCTATTTCTTCAACTGTGTGTGATTTTACATCTACTACTGAATTATTTTACACATTTCTATAGCAGATTATGCCTCATTCTGATTATCTGTAGGCAAAGGAGTCAGGAATTCTGTTTCCTTGCTTTTTGGCATTTGTTTTTCTCCTGCCATAATGGACGCTAGGCAGGAGAGGAAATTGTGATCACTTTTCAGCCAAATGACGGATGTTTGCTGTGCAAATATTTAACACATCAATGGAGAGATTTCTTGTATCCTACCTAAAACAATTGCAAAGATAGGGGCAGATCTGTCACAGTGAACTTGGCTTGTGTTTTCCGTTGGTCCTTGTGGATGACATACACACCAACTTCAGTGCAGTTACACTACGTGGATTTTCTGCTTTACATTGGAACTGTGTGCTAATTTACTAGATAAAATGTAAATTATAAACTCTTAGAAAAAAGTGTATCTCATAAAATCTAAGCAGATGTCATGCCAATACCTGTAATTATTTTATTTGTAATGTTAACAAAGAGTAATTAGCTCATCTTTCAGTTGCCATAGTTATTTTTCTTGCCATCCAACATTTCATTAAAATAATCAGCAAGAATACTGTCTCTATCTCTGTGTACAACATGTATCACTAAAAGAGTCCTGCTTAATAGTAGAGGTTATCTGCACAATATAAAGCTTTTCTTCTCAGAGGCCCCTGTTGAACTCTGAGTGCTATGGGCAGATGTTCACAGAAAACCTGACGTGCTTATAAAGAAACACCTGAGAAAACTGACTGTGTGGTTATGATTTAATAAATTCGTTCATTAAACAGAGGCCAAAAATACTTAATATAGCAACAGCAAACACAATTTAAAATTATGAGATATTTATACCTTATGCATGCTACTTATTTAAATCTGTGTACAGAACAGATTTTGAGTTTTCTGTCTATTTCCACTATTCCCAGTTTATCTTACTGTTTTACAGTGATGCCTGATAACTCTAACTTCCCATACCGACGCTATGACCGACTGCCTCCGATCCAACAGTTTTCCATAGAAAGTGACACTGACCTTTCTGAAACTGCTGAGCTAATTGAGGAGTACGATGTGTTTGACCCTGCAAGACCTCGACCAAAAATTATCCTTGTCATAGGTATGATGGCAGTCATTTTGACAAGGTTTTATCTCTGCTACTTCTCCTTTTGATTTGTACTGCAAATACATTGAATGCTTATATGAATTTAAATACAATTTTTCCATCTGCCATAGCAAGTGGTGCAGGCCAATTAAGAATGTGAAATTGTTAGCGCTGGGAATGGCATCTCAACTGTAAGAATTTTAGGGGTCGCAGCAAGCACCTGCACTCATCTTCTGTAGACTGGATGCCTCTTAGCAGCTGGAGAGCTCATGATTTGCTTATGAGCACATCTGCCAGTTTGATTTCATCATCTGAGCCTGGTTCATGCATTTCAAGGCAGCAGCACCATGTGAATCAAGGTTCTCTTCCAAAGCATGCTCAGGATTGAACTAAAACACTCAGGTATACACAAAACTGATCACAAAAAGGGTTATTTTAAAATACTGTGTAAGCCAGCTCAAAAAGGTGATAGGGAACTGTTGTCTTCTATGCTTAGACCCTTCTCAAATGACTGGCATGTCCAGCTGGAGTGAGAATACAGGGTCATTAGTTCATTGCACAGGTTAAGTTCATTCCCAGGTCTATTTGGCGAATGAATCCTGTTCCAGCTTCACAGAGAGTAAGCACTCAGTTGATATTAGTTAATTGTGCTCTCTCCCAGAGTTCTCTTTTGTGAGCTGTTTAGTGTTCTTTCTAAGTAGCTCATACTTTCCAGCCTCAGACAAGCACAGGTTATTAAAAATAGCTGCAGGTTAAGTGTAAATCAATATTTTTTTCTGTTATTGAATTTCTTTGCATCAGTTTCCTCATAGTTGTCTTTAGAAATTTTACCACCAGGCTAAATTATCTGATACTCTGGATGGCTTAAAGAGTTACATCACAGGTGCCAGGTAATGGAGAATTACATTTTTAGTCTATAAAGCTTTATTCATATTAAAGAGAGATACTTCTTCCATAACAGAGAATATATGTAGCACAGTAAAAGGGAACAGAAATGTCTTCTCTGTACTACAGAGTGGAATATCTAGGAACAGCATGTCCTCTAGACTCTGCATCCAGCAGTTCTCAGAAACGAGATATTGGAATAGATTGAAAACAGAAGACCAGGCATATTTTAAGTGTCTGTGGTATGCCAAAGCAATTGCTCAAGGCATTTGAATTCTCCTAATATTTTGTTTCAGGATTACAGACTTCAACATGCAAATCTCTCTATGTATTGCTGAAATGTGAAGATTGCCATTAGATGGAGAAATAACACCTTTACTTCATCTTAATTAATTAGCTACCCTTCCTTTTCATAAAGGAGAATAACTGGCTTCTTTTCAGTGACCACAGAAGGCTCTTAATACATCGAAATCTATGTAGCTCAATTGCAGTAGAGTGATGAATGAAGGTTTGATTTAAGTGAGATAAAGAGAGCTTGGCTTTCACCTCTGGAACTGTGTGCAGGTGTATTTGAAGTGAAATCCTTAACCACCAGCAGGCAGTGAACAGAGCATGGATTTTACAGAGCTTTTCTTTTCTCCCATTTATATAGGGAATGTTGTAAACATTCCACAAAGGCTATTTCAGGTTTATATTCCCACTGAGTTTCTCTGAATCTATTACAGTGTGATCTGATAGAAACACAATACTATATGTAGCTTAGCAGCTATTGTCCATTTTTGTACAGTATCAAGACAATTTCTCCAAAATTCAACTTTCTATTGAGAAAGCACACGAAAAAAAACATGTTGGAAGGAGTAAATGAATAAAAGAGAAAAAAAATAATAAAAGTACACTGTTCATTTCAAGAGACATTACACACAAAAAATGTGTTGCATATTTTCAGTTTGCATAAAATGCCAAAAAAAAAAAAAATCAGTTAAGTAATGTATTTCTGTCTAATTACTGATAACCAATCGTCCTGCCTTGCTCAGATGGTGCTGGTCCCAGTCACTGCTAGGGACTGAAATGAAGTTAAAGACCTGTCTTCTGCTTCACATATTTGGTGAACTTTTCTTTATTAATGCATTAGCCCAAGAGCTTTTTAATGCTTCCATAAAGGTTTTTACAACTTCTTTGCTTTATGAAATCTATCATCCTTATAATGAACCAGGTAGCTCCAGGGCTAAAGAGAACTCACTTATAAAGGTGGGGGCTTTGTTCTTTTTCTGGGTTTGCAGAAAAAACCTCTGGTGAAAGATAAAGCTATAAAGCTACACAGTGAGTGTATGACTGGATTTTAGAAAAATCAAATGGAACCAGCCAGGAGGGCACACATCAGAATCACTGGAAAAATTAAGTTTCTAAGGCATTATAACACTATAGTAAATGAGATTGTGTTTAAATATGTGCTTCCTAATACACGTTTAAGAAAAAAATTTGTACTGTTAATATAGCTTGAATTTAGAGATCTTAAAATATTAATTATCTGCTGTCATTAGCATGTTAGTTGAGTATGTTTTTAAGCTGCACTTTCTTAATATTTATTACTTAATATTAAAAAGAATACACTTTCCTTTAGAGATCAAAGTGTAAGGGCTAGATAAAATACAGTGCTGTCAGCAGACAGCTGCCTACTGATTTGTTAAATCTAGTCCACAGTTAGATTTTAAAGTCACAAGTGTTTTCAGAAATTTTATTATTAGATGAATTTATTCTGAATTTACAACAATATATGCAAAATTGAAAGAACAAACAAAATTAGATTAAAACTACTGCTTTAGTAACACTTTTGGGGCATACAAATCTTTACTTGAAACCTGTTAGCAAACATAATTTGAGATGCAACAAGTGTTCCTGAGTCTAGACATCTTCAAGAAATATGTAAAATAATCACTCTTTCCTTGAGTAATCTATCTCAGATAGTAAAAAGAACAAAAAGCAAAAGTGATTTGATTTTCCTTGCTTGTGAACAGCTTGTCAGTGTGATTTATCAGAGTCAGGAATGGATATATAGTTATGATCTGCTGTAGGAAGTAATTTTGTCCTATCACTTTTCCCTTACTTTGTTACCTGAATGTTTCCCCTCAGATTGTAAACAGATAACACCATCTTGATATTATATGTTTGGATTGATTTGGATTATGTGTTTGGGATGTGTTTGGATTGATAAAAACAAAATGTGTGGGAAGTTTATGATATTAAATCAAATATTTATTAGCTATTTTCTGATTGCAATTCAGATTGAAAGAAGTGCTGAGCTACGCTTTTTTGTTTTGTTTTGCTTTTTGGTTGCTCTTTTCTGGCAAAGCAAAGCTCTTCCTAACAGGAGTATGAAGTCTATCTACTTGTTTCAAACAGGTTTTTTTCAGCTATTTTATGCTTTTACAGACTGATGTTCTATCAAGTATCAGTTCTGGTTTTCTGGCACTTTTTGTATCTCTGTTGGAACACGAGCACTATTTTCCTTGTTTCCAATGTTTCCAATTTTCTGCACATTACCTATGTTTTGCATTTTTATTGTTGCTGGGTGCAACATAATCTGTTTCAAACTTGTAAGGTTTGGTGAAATGCATTTGTCATGGGGAAGGCTGAGCATGAAAGGGAGCAGGGGGAACTGGAGCAGAAGTGCTTTACAGCCACTTCAGTGGAGAAGATGATTCCTACTGTGTCAGATGCTAGTGTATCTACAGAAGGGGAACATTCTTTATTCTAACAAAGAGGATAAGTAGCTAAGCTGTCTTTGAAAGAAAGAGTCCAAGCTAAAAAAACTAAACCCATCTAGATCACCTGGAATTACTGAAATGGAAGAGATGTAGAACCTAACGCAGTCTGCAGAAAGAAGAGAGAAACTTATGTCTTTTTATGACAGAAACACCAAGGGAACTGAATGAGAGAAGAAGATTTTTCAGTTGTGATCTTACTGTGTAAGACACAGTTTTTCTTTCATTTTTTTACATGTGTCTTTTATGAACATCTGTAGCTGTGTTGTCTACTTGGATGTTATACACAAATGCTTGTAGAAACATTATTTAAACTAATCGGATAACTACAAAACCTTTTTTTTTTTTTTCCCCAGGGGCATAATTAAACCGTGGGCAGGGTATGGGAACATGATGACAATAGGCACATTTCTGTGTGCACTCTCTTGAAATGGCTCCTGGTCTGAGTTCCAAAGGGCAGGTGCAGCATCAGCATCGCAGCATCGGGGCACAGAGAGCTCCAAGTGCCTGCGGGAGACACTGAAAGCTCTGTGCCGGTGATACTGAGGTGCAGGTTGGAGCCTGGTTACACAGAGTGCCCTAAGTGTACAAATACTGTAAAGCTTATCCTGCAGCCAGAACTGTACTGATTATAAAAATGCTTAACAACTATTTATGGGAATAATACAGACAATATAAAAAGAATTACATGATTACTAACAAAAAGCTCAGTGCATTCTGATTTACTTTCATTGCATTTCTGTATTTTCAAAATTAATATAAAACTTATGTTTTTAATAAATCGGAATTCTTTTTCTGTTGAAATAAAATTCAGCGTTCTCACAAAGAATTCCACGAACTATAGCTACTAATTGGGACTTATTATCAAAACATTTGGTTTGCATTTGCTTTGTTATACTCTTTAATGCAATACATTTTTCTATACATAAACATTTATTTTTATGAAAGCAATTCCTTGGTTTTACATATTGAATTCCAGATTCACTGCTCATCACATCATAACACGGCCTTTTAGTTCATGGTCTGATTGTTTTACATGCATTCTTGCTGCTGCTGCTGCTGTCCAGCTCACCTTCCCTGCAGCTTTCCCTGCTATGTAACATAGCTGTTCTCTGTATTTTGATACCCATTCAGCCTGTGCTGTATGTATTGAAGAATCTCTTTATTCTTCAAGTTGTCTAGCAAGCTGAACCTAATTTCTTCTCTGTCAGATGCTTCAAGCATCAATACCAAAAGCTGGTATTACATGGTTCAATAAAAGTCCTTATACCAAATCACTATGGAAACATCTCAAATGATTATTTAATTTTTTATTTTTTATTTTTTTTTATTTTAAAATCAGGAAACATCAGAAGCTCATGCAAGCATATTTAGGAGCAGATTTTATTAGTTCCATTTCATGACTAGTTCATTGATTTAATTGGCTTATTTAACCAAGTATAATTCTTTCTGACATGAATATACTTCAGACTATCTGGCTCTATCTCTAGATTCATAAAGTTTAAAAAAGGAATAGTTCATTTGTCTGCTTCTCTCCTGTGCATCAAGAAAAACTCCATTCCAGGAATGGCTTTAGAATGAGGTCAACCTCAAAGAGTACTTATTTTTATTTTGCAAGTGGATTTGTATTCTTTTTTTAAATTTAATTTTACAAACTGTTATGTTTATGATCCACTAGCTGAAACACATGGTTGGGAACAGGTCATGCAACTGTGAGATTTACTCTAATAATGCTTGGAAAATTGGTGCCAATAGCAAAGATTTCACCTGTGATTGGGTACTTCTGATGAAAGGTTAATTTAATGTTTTGCTTATGATTCACACTAGGTGGCCCAGGAAGTGGTAAAGGAACACAGAGTTTGAAAATAGCAGAACGTTATGGATTTAATTACATATCAGTTGGTGAATTGTTAAGGAAGAAAATCCACAGCACAAGCAGCAATAGAAAATGGAGTCTAATTGCCAAAATAATTACTACTGGAGAACTGGCCCCTCAGGTACAGTGTTTCCTATGTTCATGTTTGCTTTCAAGGATTTATACATCTTGTAGTAATGTGCACCATCAAGAAAACTTCCTTTACAATGTTAAATAACTAAGTTATTTTCTCTGTGAAAGGAAACAACCATAACTGAGATAAAGCAGAGATTAATGCAGATCCCTGATGAAGAGGGGATAGTGATTGACGGATTTCCCAGAGATGTTGCCCAGGCAATCTCCTTTGAGGACCAAGTAAGAGACTGTTTTTACTCTTAAAATAACTAACACATCTCTACAACAGTTAAGCTTGTTGAAATAATCAGTCAGATTCCAAGAAAGAGCATTGCTCTTTAAATCTTTGCAAGTACATAATTACAGTTGACAAAAGATTTATATTATGTCCTGTTGTCTGAAGACAGACTATTTTTAAAAAGACAATGTGATAAGAAAACCAAGAATCCAAGCCTCTTATCTCATAATGAAAGTTCTCTCAAGATGAAGAAGAAAAACATGAAATCTAACAGTGAATATTTTCTGTATCTTACTGATTCAAAAAGTGGAAAAATATTATATTTCCGTATCTATTTGTTTAACATAATCTCTATTCACAGAAACATATTTAAAGCAATGCATGTCTTCACAGTGCTTTTAGTGTCAAGTTTATTACAGTGCATTGAAAAGATGAATAAAAAAAAGGTTAAAACTATGCATGCTTTTCAAGTTTTTGTAAACCAGAAAGCGTGCCTTTTTAAGAAAATAAGGTCATTTTGGTTATTCTAAACTATAATTCTAAGGTTTAGTCAGATAAAACTGTATTCCTGAGTTCTATTGACATGCTGTTTTCACATGTGTATTTTAAACTAATCTAAAAATACTTTAATTCAGTGGAAAAACAAACAACTGACGTAATTTTCTGATCAAGTGCTGCTAACGTAACAGTTATGGACACAAGAAGAGTTGTTTCTGAGCTGAATTCTTAGAGTGCCTTCATGCAGAATGTTTCAAAGTCTTTCACAATTGCTGGTCTACTGCTGTTTCTGTACTCCGAATTATAAGTGACATTACCAAGGCAGAAGTAACAAAACAAAGCAGCTAATGAGGCATTTCATCAATGTGCTTTATAAGGTATTATTCTGGGCAAAATTTAGAAAACTGAATTGAGGAAATTAAAGGAAACAGAAAAAATAGTTATTACAGGAAATAGCAGTGACTGCCAGCTCTATCTCCTTAAAATTAACAAAAGGGAAGACTGAATATTTTAGAAGTCAAACAGCAGAAATGTAGACTTAACAATCATTTCCTTGTGTCATCTTTTTGTCCAGTGTGATAGCGTGACTTAAGAGCATTTCTTGGTAACACAATTTTGTGCTGATGTTGTTTTTGATTAAAGAATGGGGGATATGAAACTGGAGGAAGTGATAGGAATGAAGTTATCCTACGCTCAGATTCTCTTTCTACTAAGTAAAAACCTGTTAAATAACACTTGATTATAGTCACAGAGAGTTTCCTTTTTCTCAGTCAATTGGGATTTGTAAATCATACTCCTCAAGGCCTGATTTTGCCTAAGAGATAGATCGCTAAGTTTCTGAAAAAGTCCAGGAGCACTTCATATAGGGACACCTTTCAATCTTACCAGTTCTAAAAAAATACAGGAGAGAAGGAATCCCAGCCCTTTTCATAGGCTGTCTGTTCAGATTCCCCCATTTTCATCTTTCTTTGCAGTTGACCTGTAATATGAACATATCTGAAACCATGGAAATAAATGTACAAAAGCTATACATATTTCAACATTCAATCCTATATCAACATCTCCAGTGATATATATTCAGTGTTTTATTTTGGACATATATTTTAAAGAAATAAAATATACTTGTTGTTTCTTTAAAATTCTCTGTTTAGTAAGCCTTGATGCTACACACCTTGGTAGGAAGGTTTTGTGTTAAGGAAAAGGGAGTATCAGCAGTCATGGTACTGATCATCCTTCACAGGATGAGGCTCACAGGCACCCATGGCATGTCAGGTTATTTACATTAAGCATGTGAACATCGTTCAGGCACTCAGAGATTCCTCAATAGCAAGTGCAATTGAGTTGTGGAGTAATTAACTGTTGTGATAATTTGTCTAGGTCTGCAATTAGAGATAGTAGGGAGTTTTCCAAAGCTTTCTTTCTAGCGCTGTGTAGAAGAATAGAATTGTTCTCATTAGCCAAAAGTGACAAAGTGAGAAATAACTAGTTGAAATTTCAGCAAAGAAAGTTTTGATTAAACAGTAAGACAATTTTAATTATATCTACTGGATCAGCTAGCAATGGAACATGCTCTGAAGAAAATGGTGAAATCCCACAAAATGCAAGTTGTACACATGCCATATTCTTACAAAGACAATCCCTGTAGAACACTGATATCTGTGGATGAGAAGTTCTGAATAAGAATTAATTCTTATTGCTATCACCAACTTTGTCATGAGCAAATACTTATTCCCACAGATGGTCCTTTTGAGACCATTGCACGATTATGTACCTGAAAACAGCAGAAAATTTTAGGTGATACATACAAATTCTTTATCATTGTTTACACAAACACAAATTTCAAGAATTTAGGTGGTAACACCAAAAATGAATTGTGGGGAGGAGTGGAAAAGGAAAAGGACAACAGAGGTGCCTGGTTTCTCTTGAAAGCTCATATAAAATCTAACTCTGCTGTGTTTGCAGTCATCTTTAATGTAACAAATTATTTATGCTAAATTAATTCTTCAGTCTTATGGCTTACAAAGCTGTTACTAAAACTTGACACTAGGCTTTCATAATCTCTTCATCTTGTGGAAAAATCAAATGAATACATGTATGTCTGAGCTGGACATTCTATTATAGAAATACATCATGATAACAACTGCTTGTTAAACTTTGCTTGTAATTGCTCTTGGTACTACCAGCACATTTTTATCTCTTTGACTAATCCAGAAGCTGAACTTTTCTCTGGGAAAAAAAATGTTATTTTTAGTAAACTAGTCAAAGCAAACCAACTTATGCTAACATTCCCATACATAGGTATAGCTAAAAGATGATGATTTCTTCTTCCTTATTATGTTGCCAGACTCTCGTGTGGACAGTAAGTTCTCAACATGTTGCTAGGCAGAATTGTATTAAAACATGTTGCATCTCAGTGACTAAAGTGCCTAAAATAAAGCAATGTATCATTTGCAGCACACACAGTATTTCTCTTTCTGCTCAGATCTAGAAATCAGAAGAAACAAACAGTGCTTCCATGCAGTAATGTCAATCTGGAACAAGTGCATCAGAAAGCACTTTACACATCACAGGAATTTTCTATTTGAACTTAAGCTTTCCTCCCCTTCTTTTCTATGGAGTATCGTTAATAACACTGCTCCTGTCATCCATATCTTCTGAGCAGCAAAGAAGTTTTTTAAGCCAGCATCAGTGATGTTTTCAGAGTTTCAGCAGTGCCTACCAGCCAGCACCACATTGGCCATTCTGGTCACTTACACCAGCTTCATTTCTTAATGCTCAGCTTCTCATCGCAGCCTTCTTGCAGCCTGGAAGAACTCAGCCATGAGCACTGCAGTATTCTTTATCTCAGTTTTCTTTGAACTTTTTAACCAAGTTGAAATAAGCCCTGTATTTTTCTCTTTGAAAACTGAGTTTAATAAGTAAATTCCTCTTATTGGAACTCTGGGATTGTTGCCAAGTCCTGACCCTCTCATTTCTTATTTCCAGAGAGCAGAGTCGATACTGCGAATACTTTTGATAGGGGTACTTTTAATAAAGCTATGAAGTTTCAAGCAGTCATAGTTGCAGGGAAAAAAATGAAATAATGAATTTTAATGTCTTAAAATCAAGCAGGACTTCCAGTTTATATATTCCTTTTAAATATATGATAATTCCTATATTTTGCTCAGTTTGAACTCCTTCTGCATAGCACTGCAGATTTAATACTGATGTATTTAGACTTTCAGTTTGAGCCTAGGCATAAAGCAATCCTAAACCACAAATTTCTTAGGTATCCATGATCTCTGCTGAGTGCAAATAGCAGAAAGGTGTTTAGGTTTCAAGGACATATTTGAAAATGCCAAGGAGAAAATGGTTTATTTACCATTAACCTGTCATCTTGAAATTCAGCGAGTCACCTGCAGTCCCAGCATGCTGAAACATGTTAAATATCTTCCTCTCCTGCAATGCTATAATAAAATGCCTCTGACTGATGTATTGAACTCCAATGGCTTGTGAAGAAATTGCAGTTTGACTTTCTGTGTAATCTCTCACATGATTTTTGTCTTTCCCAGGAGAAACAATTAACTGTATTTTACAGTTAATTTCAGTTACTGCTTTGCTTTGTTTTTTTCCACCACTTTCAGTCATTCATGTGTAACTTTCCTTCTTTGTTAATATCAATAGAGTAAGTACAGATGTAGTTTGCTTAAAATATATTAACTGTAACTTTTTTTACTAGTGAAATAAATGTAGAACAGGTATTAGAATCAATGGATATTCATTCATGAATGAAATTTAATTGCTTGATAAAAGAGGATAACTATTTTTGTAGAAATTATAAAAAAGATATATTTTTTGTCTTCTATAGCCTGAGTGACAAAATTATATTTGAGCAAAATCTTAATTTAAATAACAAACAGATGCAATAAATTTTAGCTGATTATTTGTTTAAAATGCTCTTAGGAATATTCATAAATGCACTACACCTGCAAAGAAAAACTACTCATCTTGACTGTAATTTGAGTTAATTTTTAACTCTCAGGTATATTCCTTAGGAAAATTATTACGAGAATAATTGTGATAAAGTAGAACTAACTGTGCAGGTGGCACAATATAGGATGGTGAGAAATGCCTGGGTATTTCAGAGGCTGAGGACAGCAGCACTGTTCCTCCAAGGCTGATACTCAGATCTCCAAGCAGGAGCAATGCCTGCAGTGCCCTGCAGGTTTGACACAGGTGTTTGTGGCCAGCTGCCTGAGGGTCTGACTGCCAAAGCTCTGCAAAGAGCTTCTCACAGAAAACCTGCTGTTCCTGGCCAAGAGTGTGGCCCCCAGAGCAACCTGGGAGGTGAATGCAACCTTGTTGTGAAGCTTCTTAAGGGAAAAGAACCTGTTTTTTGCAAAAGGTTTTTGTTCTGGTAAAGATATTTTTTTCTCTATCATGGCAAATGTGTCTTCTTTATTTCCTCTCCCCCTATACTTCTATCTGCCTTCTCCCTGATCTCTACTTCACTGATCCAGGTACA